GAGAAGATGCTAGATATAATTTCAATCTTCTTAAAATTATTGAGATTTCTTTTATGTCCGAACATGTGTTCTATCTTAGAAAACATTCCATTTGAGCTAGGTGTGTATATTCTGCTGTTTTGGGGTGAAATGTTCTGAAGATATCAATTAAATCTATTGATCTAGTGTGCCATTTAAGGGCACTGTCTCCTTGTTGATTTTATGCCTGGAAGAGCTATCCATTGAGGTCAATGTGGTGTTAAAATCCCCGACTAGCCCTGTATTTCTAGATGTCCTTCCCGATTTTAAACTGCCACACATGGGTGTGGGGCCAGCATATTCAGCATCTCTACCCTTCCTACCAGTCTCACCATGGCTTCGTCTGTATATCGTTCCTTAGAGGATTTATGTTCAGTTAGTCTTCAGACAGTTCTCAATGACTAGTTTAGTTGCAATTTTTATGTTGTTGTGGGAGGATGCAAGTACCATATTTACCAACTCTTTCATCTTGACCAGAAGCCTTGAGTTAATTTTTGTGTTTTGGGTAACAGAGTGGTCCAGTTTCATTCTGTTGCATATGACTGTCCAGTTTTCCCAATACCATTTTTTGAAGAGACTGTCCCTTCCTTATTGTATGTTCTTTGAATCTCTGTTGCAAATTAATTGACTGTATGTGCATGGGTTTTCTTCTGGGCTCTGTATTCTTTTCCATTATTCTTTATGTTTGTTTTTGTCAGTGCCACACTGTTTTGATTATTATTGCTTTGTAATGTAGTTGAGGTCAGAAAGGATGGTACCTACAGTGTTTTTCTTTTCAATATTGATATTGTTTTGGCTTTGTGGAATCTTTCATGTTTCCACACAAATCTTAGAACTATTTGTCCTATTCCTGTGAAATATGCCATTGGTATTTTGATATGGATTTCAGAGAATGTCTACATTGCTTTGAGTGATATGAACATTTTAACAATATTAATTGTTAAAATGGAATTTTTAACATGGAATATGTTTCCATTTCTTTGTGTCTTCAATTTCTTTTATCCATATTTTACACTTTTCAGTGGACAGGTCTTTTATTTCCTTGGTTAAATTTATTCATAGGTATTTTATTATTTTTGATAAAGTTATAGATTAAATTATTTTCTTTTAATAATGGACAGGTCTTTTATTTCCTTGGTTAAATTTATTCATAGGTATTTTATTATTTTTGATAAAGTTATAGATTAAATTATTTTCTTAATTTGTCTTTCTGCAAGTTTATTATTAGGGTATAATAATACAAGTTTTTGTACACTGATTTTATATCCTGTAACTTCATGGAATTTATTAGTTTTATCAGTTTTTTTTTTCATGGAGTTTTAAGGATTTTCTCTATAACATTGTCATCTGTAGCTAGTAACAGTTTTACCCCTTCCTTTCTAATTTTGAGCCTTTTATTCATTTATTTTTTTCTTGCCTAAATGCTCTTGCTAGGACTTCCAATACTATGTTGAATAACATGACAAGAGTCAGCATTTTGGAGCAATCTTTCTAGTAATTTAATAAATTATTAACTGGCAGATCTCCCCATTTACTGAAAATACTTTCTATATTAAGCATTACTTCTCACAAATTAATTAACATATAAATTTTTAAATAATTTATTCAGCAACCTCCTGAAAAACATTAAATACCTATACTGAACAGAGATCCTTAAGTTAGAAAGGTAAACTTACCATTACACACCAAAAGTAAACTAAAATAATTTTCAAATGCTCTGTGGTAAGTTAAGTCTCACATATAAAGAAGCGTAGCAGTTTGTAAACATGCAGTACACATACATGCAGCCTAGTATATAATCTTAACAGAAGGGAAGAAATTATATTCATATGATATAGGGTACTTCAACAAATATGCCTTTGTTTTTTGTGCATTACTCGTCCAATGTTTCCTTTTGTCTTTAAACTTCTCTCTGCTACAAAATGCTAACACATGTTTGAAAATGTTATAATTTTTAATCAAATAGCATCCTTTTATCCTAGAGATTTTCTCTCTGAGATGTTATCAAAAGGAGTGGAAAATAAGAGAAATTTTAAAGCTCTTTTACTACTAGTCTATTGTAACCACTGAGATTCTTACCCTTGATAATTAAAAGAAACAGTAATTTACCCAGTTACACAATGTGCTTCCAAACTTCTCTGAAATCTAAGCCAACAACAGTATCTTTAGTAACTTTTGATGTTCTTCACATCTTAAAACAAATTATGACTCTCTGAGGAGACTCTGATTAAGGATTTCCGAGAGAAAACTACATAATAGCATGAGTGAAGAAATTTAAGATTATTTCAGACAGTATTCTTAGCATCTTGTTATTTCTTTAATTATAAAATGGACAGAAGTAAAACATTACAGCATTTTTAAGTTAAAAAACCAATGAAACAAACAGCTAAGGCTTAAGCTTCTTTGGTCCATGGTCCATGGAAGAAGAGGCTTGATGGACACTGAAGCCCAGTTCTATTTTTCTACAGAATTGGCACTGTACCAAGAAGCTGAATAATCCAGGATGGTAGTAGGAAAGTGGACATATGGAGGAGAAGTTTTTCCAGACCTAAAACAAAGATAGTACTTTACATATAGTAGAGACTCAGTCAAGGTAGGTTGAATGAATCCCAGGTAAGTAGCAGGAAGTAAAGGAATGAATGCTGGCTATTTCTGCCCCTTTCCTATTCTAACCAGTAATAAACATAACCTGAAATTTAATTCTGCTTGCCCTGGACATTTCTACTGCCTCCAACTTCCAAAAATGCTCTTAGATAAGTATCTGTTGATTTTAAAAATAAAGAGATGAAGAAGAGGTAAAAGAAGCCTGAGTAACAGAGAATTTTTTTTTTTACTGCTACATACTATTCCATTGTATAAATGTACCACAGCTTTTTTATCCACTCATTTACTGATGGGCACTTGGGCTGAATCTTGGTTATTGTAAATAACACTGCTTTGAACATACGGGTACATATATTCTTTTGAACTCGTGTTTTGGGATTCTTAGGATATATTCCAAGAAGTGAGACTGCTGGGTCAAAAGGCGAAGGGGGAGAGGGGAGAGGAACAATGATAGAAAGAAGGGGAAGGGCCGTGAAAGAACATGTCTAAAGGACCCATGGACAAAGCCAAAGCGGGGCAGGACTGAGGGCGGGGTGGGAGGAAGTGGTGGTGAGAAAATGGAGAAAACTGTATGTGAGCAACAATATATAAATAAATAAAAATATATAAGGCAAAGAGGGGAACAAGTAGGGAAAACATAAGAGTGTAAACAATAAAAAATAAGGAAAAAAGGAATTTTTGTTTCCTTCTTTAAAAATCTGTAAGAAAATGTCAAAAATGAAACTAGTTGAGTTTTACAAAATATATTTAATTGATATTGAAACATGTAATTTTAAAAAATTCTAATGACTATTGACAATTTATTGTCAAATATACACTGCTTTTCCAATCATAAACAGTCTCCTGTAACCCTAACAATAACTACATGAGGTATTACTCACACTATACAGTATGAACTGACACTCAGAGGTTATGATGCGATTTGCTCAAAATGAAAAACTCAACAAATGACAGGTCCTAGATTCAAATCTATGTAGCCAGCTTAGATTCCCTATACTATGTCACAGCAATGATATGTTACTGACGCTTCATTTAGTGGGTAAACTGGGAAAACCAGAATTGGAAGGGGGAAAAAAAAAAAAACAAGACTTGAACTCTCACCCAGAATCATGAACAAAATGCTCTCCCATACTTTTCAGAATTTAAATTCATCTTGCTAGCTCTTTTGGTAGATTCAGGAGCAGGCATTCCATCTTGGTCATCTTTATGTTTACTACAGAAAATACTTGATACAGCACTTTCTATGTACTAGATCCACCAGAAGAATTTAGAAAAATGAATTAATTAGTTTGTGAGTGTTAGTTTGGGTGCATTAACATGTCTCTTCCTATGTGGTGCTAAAGTGTTATCTAACACTCCTCCTGCCTGAGAGTCAGTGGATTCCCTGCAGAATATAATGCTTCCTATCTTAGTATTTACCATGGATTAGACAACAGACTCTAAAACTAGCTGTCAACTGCAAAACAAAGATGCAAAAGATTTAAGCCTGATTGAAACATAAATGAATTTTGTCCAAAAATAAGACAACCTCAAAGTTATGTTTGATTATCTTAGGACATTGGTTATTTTTTAAATTTAATTTATCACTTGTCATTCTTTTGTTTTCACTGATTTTAAGTATATATTTTTCAGTGCCCTTTTACCTCTTTTGAATAAGCTTTGTTACGCCGCTAAGTCCCTCATTACTTATTTAAATATATGTTCATTATATATTGGTATAAGAACTTTGTGTCCAACATTTTGAAAATTACGCATTGCTACTGTTTAGAAAAAGAGTTCATCATTTTGTTTGATGTTTTTTCTTTTTTAAAAATTATTTGTGTGGTACATGCACATTAATACTCTTTTATTAAAGAATTTTGTTTCTCTTATGGCCACTTCATACATTAGCAAAAATAAATTTATTGGGAAGATGTGAGTCACCTCACCAAACTGATGGGAAAACTTGGGAAGAAGCATAAACAAAATGGCAGCAGAAAATAGAGCTGTGGCCTGCTGCCAGGACAGTCCCCTTAACGTGCCACTTTTGGCACCACTGTTAGTACTTCATGGGCTCGCACTGCCGCTGCACCCACCAGTAGCGCACTGGGATGCTTCCAGGCCTCAGCAAATAAGCCCCAAATCCTCAAAACATGAGTGCATCACTTTGTCCAGAATTTCAGGCAGAACATATACTTGGAAAAGCCTATGTCATTTTAAAGAAAAATAGATGTACTTCAAATTTAAAGAATGTTTGGGGAAACTTTTAATTTCAGATAGTCAATACCTAAACACCAGTCTATTAAAAGTCTTCCACTACAATTTTCTAGATTTTTACAGGCTTTCACATAAGTATAATGCAGTCTGACCTTGAATATGTACCTAAGGAAGAACGTTACCTGGGCCCAGCCCATCATGTCCTATGACAACCTTGTACAAATCCCCAAGGTGCACAGCTTCTAAGGAGAAGGTGTCGGTCTGTAACAAATCAAACAAGTAAGAGTTAAAGTATGAATCTCATTTCTGAAAAAGAGTATAATTAAGATAAAGTAAAAATTGTGAAAAGAATTAGGTTCATTCAGTAAATATGCAAATCTGTCTAAAGTAAGGAAGTAAAGGTAAAACAATACTAATTTATAGAATACTATCAATAACAAGTTTTCTAATATACCCAATTCCTCTTCATGGCCAATTTTTCATTATAGAGCATAAATGTGGGGACTTTTGCAAATATATTTTCAAAAAATAACAAAATAAGTATACTAATTATAAAACATACTAAAAATTTCCATTCATGTGAACACAACCCATACTTTTCTGCCTTTGGATGGAATTTTTAAGCAATGTTTATGTGTCATTCACAAGCATCATGGTACTAAAGTAATTTTACAACATGAATGCAGGATTATTGAAAATTTATAACACTTTTCTGAAGTCCCGATGTGCTGCTACAATCAAAGCTATTCATGTTTGAGCTCTAATGGCCCATGTATTCAGAACGTGTTTACAAGTGAAGAGCACAGAGTTCTCTTGATAAAACTTAAGATTATAATATATGTTAAAATGCAAAAAAATACATGATGTAGCATATCAGATGAAAAATAATCCAGAAACAAAACATAACTTTTGCACCTGTATGTCTTATACATTTTGAAATATTTTCACATACATTTTATGTTATCCTTAAAAGTCACTCAGAAAAATATCCATTCTATAGATTAGAGCTCACAATTCCTCTAATATGTAATAATACTACTTTTCTTTATAACCACTCTGCCTCTCTATCAGTGGAATACAAATAATATAAATAACAATAAATCTATTAACATTCATTTACAAAACAAAAATACTGTTTGTGCCTGATACAGGTTAATAAGTAACACTGTCATCCCTTTATCCATGAAACAGATCTGCTAGAAAAGGAGGAATTTCTATGTAATAAAAGAAAATACAATGTCACTTATAAGGGGAACCTAGTCAACAAAATAAACTAATGAGCAAAACAGAACCAGAGACATGAACACCAAGAACAGGCTGACAGCTGCCAGAAGAAATGGGGTGAAGGGAAGAGCGGAAAGAAAGGGAAGGGAGTCGTCAAAGAACATGTATGAAAGACTCATGGACATGGACAAGAGGGTGGGCATAGACTTTGGGAGCAGGGAATGGGGCAGGATAGAGGATGGCAAAGGAGGAAAAATGGGGGCAACTGTAATAGAATAAACAAGAATAAAATTAAATTTTAAAAAAGAAAATACTGGCAGAGAAAGCTATTAGTTATACTATGATCATTGATGTAGAGAATGCTAGGAAAAGAAAGATAACATAATGAAAATATTTTGACATACTCACTTAAATTCTATTTGCATCATCAAGAAAAGCTGAGATAACTAAAATATAATGGGCTCTCTATGCTTTACTTAGTTAAAAATTAAATATTACTTGAGTATTAATATTAGTAATAATAAAAATAATGTATTCAGTTTCTACATTTGACAATGATGTTGTTATATATAATAATTCTCATTTAATGATGTAAAATTACATTTAAAGTTAGACAATGGGGCCCTGGCTGGTGTGGCTCAGTGGACTGAGTGTCGGTCTGTGAACCAAAGGGTCATTGGTTCGATTCCGAGTTAGGGCACATGCCTGGGTTGCAGGCCAGGTCCCCAGTTGGGGAGGGGGACATGAGAAGCATCAATGTGTGTTTGCTTGTGTGAGAAGCAACCACACATTGATGCTTCTCTCCCTCTCTCCCTCCCTTTCTCTCTCTCTAAAAATAAATAAATAAAATGTTTTTAAAAAGGGAAATGACTTCAGCAACATGTCGGACTAAGCAGAGCCAAGCCTTCACTCTCCCATGAAGACACCATTTAACAACAATATATGGATGAGAATACTTCTGTAAAAACTGTAGCTACCAGGAGGAAAGCTGCAGCATCCATTCCAATGCATAATGAGAAAGGAACTCCATTAAAAGTGGTAGAAAAATCTGTGACATTTTGAGTGTCCATGATCCTCCTACAACTTGGCATGTGGAGCAAATCTCCATACCACAGATCTTATCTTAGGATAGAAGCGGGAGAATAGACCACGCATACAATATTCTGGCTTATTTGGGGGCTGCCCAGGGAACTGATTTCTCCCTCATTTAAGTGGGAATACTAATAGTAACAGCAGCATAGTTTGGAAGGTAAAACAGAGGAGAGTACCGTGGCACGTTAGAGCTACAGAGATCTTCAGTACAGCAGGCAGACATGGCAGGGCTAAAGTATGCAACAGATTATGAGTATTGGAGAAGAAATGACAACAAGTAGCTAAGGGAAACTGAGGCAGTTAAAAGCATACATACAAGTGCAGAAGAGACATATAGCCAGAAAAATTTTGAGAGGTCCTAGAAACTAACCACACGTATAGATGAACATCTTCTCCAGCACAGCCCAAATCTCAACAACATATCACAAGATGTAAAGGAACAAAATAAAGTTCCAGAAACCAACCCGAAAGAAAGCCAGATCTCTATGATTCCTGAAAAAACTAAAACAAATACTTTAAATATGTTCAATAAACTGAACGATAACACAGAAAATTAGCTAAACTAATTCAGGAAACAGATACATTAATAAAACGAGGATGTCAACAACAAAATAAAAAAATAGAAACAATAAGAAGACACCAAACAGAAAATCTGCAGTTGATATAGTAACTGAATTGACAAATTCATTTGATTATTTCAATAGCAGACTTGATCAGGCAGAATAAATAAAGCAAACTTGAAAATAGGTCATTTGAAATCATCAAAATGGGAGGAAAAAGAAAAAAAATAAAGTAGAGAGTCTAAGGCCCTTAGGCAAATGGAACAGTATATGCATATTGGAGTCACAGGAAAAAAATAGATAAAGGGACAAAAAGATTATTAAAGAAATAATGAATGAGAATTCCCAAATGCGGTGAGAGATGTAGACACTCAATTTCATGAAGCTTGTAAATTTCCAGATTCAACTCAAAGAGAATTTCTCCATGATACATTATAACTTATTTTTCACTGCCAGCATGACCCTAATACTAAAGCCAGAAAAGGATACAGAGACAAACCAAAACACATTACAATCAAATTATCAAAAGTTAAAGGCAGAGACAACCTTGAAAGCAACAAGAGAAAAGTGACTCATTGTGTACTGTATGAATGAGCTTCTATAAGTTTATGAGTGGATTCCTGAGAAAAATCACACATACTAGAAGGTAATGGGATAGTACTTGGTCTGACAGAAGTAATGCCTGCATGAGTGTGGTTGGTAGTGTAATGATAGGGGTGTAATAACTTATAGTTTTAATTTGAACACTTCATCTAAAGTGTCATATGATGTGCCTGAGTGTGATATTGTTATGTTACAGAATTACATCCTTATGATTTTGTAATAAAAGATTTTGAAGTAAAAAGGAAGATTATTTGTGCTGGACCCTGCATATTAAAATTGCTGAAAGAAAAACTTGTCAACCAAGAATCCTATTTCAGATGTAACTGTTCTTAAAAAATGGAGGAAAAAAAAGACTTTTTAAGATAAAACAAAAACTGAAAGAATACATTCACACTAATTTGCCCTAGCAGAAATGTAAAAGGGAGCCCTTCAATCTGAAAAAAAGGATAGTAGCTAGCAACACAAAGTTGTATTAAAATAAAATGTCCCAATGGACAAATATAGTAACTTGTATTAGTATAATTTTGGTGCATAAGTCCATTTTTAATTCTTATATAAAATAAAAAGCATTAAAAACTATTTTAATAGGTATACAATGTACAGAAGATATACTTTGTGACATCAATAACATAAAGTAGGAAGGTGGAGCTATTAAGGAGTAGAGTTTTCATGCTGGAGTTTGATTGAAATTGTCAGTTGAAATGGAACACACATTAACAGAACTCAAGGGAAAAGCTGATAGTAATGTTACTCTAGACAGTCAGAGCGCTGGGGAAGCCTGCCCTATTGGCCAAGATGGCGCAGGGGGAGGTTCTCACACTGAGGGCATGCAAAGATAGAAAGATGAATGGACAGGGTCCAAGCACACCAAAAGCTTACAAACAAATAGGGTAGAAAAGAAGCCTCCCCTCCCCAACTTTATCAGAACCAAGGGCTTGAGCAGGGAGGGGGAATGGTCTTTGAGATGGAAGTCCGCCATTCTTCCATGTCTCAGCCCCTGAATAAACTTTCTTTTTGCACCAGCACTTGCCTCACAAATTTGGCTTTCATTGTAGCCAACAGCCAAACCTGCATTTTGGTTACAGTAACATAATAATAGTAGGATATGTCAATGCCCCACTTTCAATATGGATACAAGAATGAGACATAAGATCAACAAGAAAACGGAGGACTTGAACAACACTATCAAACAATAGAACCTAACAGACATACAAAACTCTCCTCTCAAATTTACAGTAAATATACGTTCTCTCAAGTGGACATGGATGTTTTCCAGATTGATCACAGGTTATGTCACAAAACAAATCAACTACAAATTTAAAGATATTAAAAGAAGGCAAGTATATTTTATAACAAGGGAATAAACTAGAAATCAATAGCCAAAGAAAAACTGAAAAATCCAAAAACACATGGAAATTAAACAACACACTACTAGACAAGCACTGGCTTGAAAAGCAACCACAAGAGAAATTAGAAAATATCTAAAAAACAGATGAAAACACAACACACCAAAACTTACGAGATGCAGCCAAAGCACTGCTAAGAGGGAAGCTTATAAGTGTTTACATTTAAAAAAAAAAAAGAAAAGAAAAAAGAAATGTCTCAAATAAAAAAAACTAAATTCACAAATAAAGGAACTGAAAAAGAGCAAACTAAACCAAAAGTTGGCAGAAAAAATAATAAAGATTAAGCAGAGATTAACAAGACAGAGACTAGATAATAATAAAAATTAAGGAAACTAAGAGTTGTTTTTTTGAAAAGATCAACAAAATGGACAAACCCTTTGCTAAATAAACTAAGAATAAAGAAGAGAAAACTCAAATAGCTAAAATCAGAAATGAAATATGAAGCATTACAATTGAGGTACAGAAATAAAAAAAAACATTATAAGGGAATTCTATAAACAATTGTACACCAACAAATTGGACAACTGAAAAGAAATAGATACATTCCTAGAAACACACAACCTACCAAGAATGAAACATGAAGAACTAGAAAGTCTGAAGAGACATATTAGTAGTAAGGAAACTGGGGCAGTGATAAAAAAAAAAAACCTCCAACAAATAAATGTCTACTACCAGAAAACTTGTTGGAGAATTACACCAAACATTTAAAAAAAATGCTCCTCAATGCTCCTCAAACTCTTCCAAAATATAGAAGGAGGAACATGCCCAAGCTCATGCAATGAAGCCAGCATTACTCTGACACCAAAGACAGACATCATCACAGAATTATAGACAGAATTAGCCTTGATAAACATTGATGCAAAATCTTCAACTAACACAAGCAAATCAAATTAGACAATACAGTAAAAGGATTGTAGCCCTGGCCAGGTGGCTCAGTTGGTTTGAACATCATTCCAAACACAAAGAGGTTGTGGATACAGTCCTCAGTCAGCACATATAACTATGTTGCATGTTCAATTCCTGCTTGTGGTACATATGACAGGCAACTGATTCATGTTTCTTTCTCACACCTCTCTCTCTCCACCCCCCTTCCTTTTTCTCTAAAATCAATAAACATATTCTCAAGTGAGGTTTTAAAAAAGGATTATACACTATGAGCAAGTGCCATTAATTCCTGGAATGAAAGGATGGTTCAACATATGAAGAGTTGATATAATAAACTATTATAAAGAATGAAGTACAAAATCCAAATGAATTTGTTAATTGATATAGAAAAAAATGTTTCACAAGTTTTAGCATCCTTTCATGAAAAACATACCCAAAAATCTAGGATAAGAAATAAATCATTTCAATATAATAAATGCCATCTATAAAAAGTCTAGAACTGACATTTTACTCAATGGTGAAAGGCTGAAAACTTTTGATAATCAAGAACAAGACAAAAATGTTTACCTTCCCCCTTTCTATTCAATATAGTACTACAAGGTCTAGCCAGGAGAATTAGGCAAGGAAAAAAAAATAACAGTCTTTCAAAGTGGAAAGGAAGAAGTAAAATTATCTCTTTAAGACAACATGATATTCTCTGTAGAAAACCGTAAAGATTTCACACACACAAAAAAAACCCTATTAAAACTAATGCATAAATTCAGCAAAAATACAGGATACAAAATCAACCTATAAAAAAACAGGTGTTCTCCCTTCAATTGTCAACTATCATCAATATGAGTTTAGCCTTCCAAGTTGATGTTTTTGCTAAAAGAACATCTCAGTTAACTAAACAGAATCCTGCTGGAAAGTGCAGCAGATGGAAAGGGCACATCTGTTGTTGTCTGGAAAGCCAAAACTAAAACTAAAGAGGGTTGCTTTATTTACTTAAAAAAAAATTATACATTAACAATGACCAATGTCAAAAGGAAATCAAGAAAATAATTCTATTTATAATAGCATCAAAAAGAATAAAAAACTTAGGAATAATCCTAGCTAAGGGACCTGAAAGACCTGTACATTTATAAGTCAAAACATTGCTGGAAGAAATGAAAGCAGACAAAAATACATAGTAAGACATCTTGTGTTCATGGATAGGTAGACATAATATTGCTAAGATATCAATACTACCAAAGAAATCTACAGATTCAACACAATTCCTATCAAAATCACAATCACATTTTTGTATATATGGAAAAATTCCATCCTAGAATCCATACGGAATCTCAAGGAATGATGAACAGTCAAAACAATCTTTAAAAAAAAGTGGATGGTCCATCCTTCCTGATTTCAAAGCATACTTCAAAGCTACAGTGATCAATATGGCGTGGTACTGATAGAAAGACAGAGAAACAGAAAAATATCAATAGACTAGAATAGGGAACCCAGAAATAAACCTTCATCTATATGGTCAAATGATCTTTCACAAGGCTCCAAGTCCAGTTAATGGGAAAAGGGCAGTCTCTTCAATATAATTTTGGGAAAACTAGATACCCACACACAAAAGAATGAAGTTGGATCTTAATAGCATATAGAAATATTAATTCATAATGGCTTAAAGATCTAAATGTAATAAACCAAACTAAAAACTCCTAGAAGAAAACATGAGAAAAGCTTGAGAACATTAGATTAGTCATAGCCTTCTTGGATATGACACCGAAAGCATAGACAAAATAAGTAAATGGGATTATATCAAACTTAAAAATCTTCTGTCTATCAAAGGATACAATTTAAAAAATAAAAAGACAACTTACAGAACTTCAGAAATTTGCAAATCACATATATAAGAGGTAAATATTCAAAATATATAAAAAGCACCTATAACTCAACAACAAATAAACAAATAACTTGATTTAAAAAGGGCAAAAGACTTGAATAAATGTTTCTTCTGAGATAATATACAAATGGCCAACATCATATGAAAATATGTCAACATTATTTAACAGAGAAATGCAAGTCAAAACCACAATGAGATATCACCATACACCCATTGCTATAGCTACTGTAAAAAATAAATAAATAAAAAACAGAAAATAAAAAGTATTGGTCAGACTGGGTATAAACTAAAACCTTGGTGTATTGTTGGTGGAATTGTCAAACGGTGTGATCACTATGGAAAACAATAAGCTGGTTCATCAAAAAATTAAAAGTCAAACTTCCATATGATCCAGCATTTTCACTTCTAAGTATATAACCAAAATAATTGAATGGTGGGTACGAAAGAGATATTTGCACACACACTGCATTATTCACAACAGTCTAAAGTTTGAAACAGCCAAAATATTCATCAATGTATTAATGGATAAAGAAAATGTGACATATACATACAAAAGAATATTATTCAACCTTACAAAGAAAGGAAATAATGTCAGAGTCCACAACATGGATGAACCCTGAGGACACTATGCTAAGTGAAATAAGCCAGTCACAAAAACACAGTGACTGTATGATTTCAATTATGTGAGCCCTCTAAAATAGTCAAATTCATAGTATCAATGTGAGAAATGTCCAAACATGTAACAATATGAGTTTATTTGAGCCAAACTGATGACAATTGCTAGGAAGCAAAATCTCAAAGGGTTGAGAAATGCTCTGGAGAATGGCAGCTTTGCCCCTTATGTTACACATTGCAATCAAAAGAGGAGGCAAAAGGTGGTTACATGAAATCCACTGGTGATGGATTAGGGAGGTGGGAGAAAGCAAAGCAGGGAGGCGGGAGAACCTCTGGGATTGGATAAAAAGTAAAATGATAGACACTTTTACACAGGTGGGCACAGGATAGTTAATAGTCAACAATTTACATGATAATAGAAACAGTGAGGGGATTTGTGGTCTCCCCCTGATATGGTGCCTGTGTTTTGAGGGGTCTGGGAAAAGGAAATTTCACATTCCAAAGGTATGTTATCGTAGATGCCAAAGGACAACAGACAGGCTCAGTTAAGGTAAAGATTGACCTTTGTTGTGGAAAAATACCAGCTTAGGGTATGACTACCTGCCATGACCTGTTTTTAGTTAGAAAGTTTTAAGTTTGAGACCATAACATGTAGTTACTTTAGGTCTGAGTATGTAAGGCCACCAAGCATTCCCCCTTCCCTCTACCCACCCTGAGCTTGTCAGACTTATAATGTGGCCCCCTTCTGACCATAATAGACACAGAAAGCAGAAGGGTGGTTACCAAGAGCTGGGAGAGGGGAAATGAGTTGTCTGAACTGTGCATTTAAAAATACTTAAGATGGTAAATTTTATTTGATGTATTTTTGCCACAATTTTTTTTAAAAAATCAGACAAAGGACTTTTTCATCACTTACTTGTCCTCTTAAAAAATTGATGGAGTTCTTTGATCGAAATAGTTGTCTGGATCCTGTATCTCCCTTTTCCCCATAGACAGAAATGTAGACATTTGCGGCTGTCCCAGCATTCCAAAGCTCACCTGTTGCCACATTCACTTCATATACTGTCACTGACAAAAGAAAAACAAGCTTTATAAGCCAAGTATTATTCACAGGATAGAATACAATTATAATATATATGTATATATATATACACACACAAATATAAGATCAAGAGTTCCAGTTTCAGGTAAGATAGAATAATACACTCCACTCAGTCTCTCCCACTGAATACAGCTATAAAATCTTGACAGAGTGCATCAAGTAGCTATATGAAGCCTCTGAAAATTAAAGAGTAGCAGGAGGACTGGTGAAGGACAGAAATTAAAGTACCAACACTTGGCAGTGACTTTACCATTTTTTGTTTTTCACTCCCTGTAATTTCCCAGCTGGGATTCAACATTCCAGAAACCTGAAAGTAGGCAGTGGAGCTCAGAAGAAGCCTTCTTGCTCTGACTCAAGAAGCAGAAAGGGGGACACTTAACACACATAGAATGAACAAATATTCTAACAAATTCTCTCACATTTCTCCATTATCTCACAACCCAGTGTCTGGGCAGAGAAGCACACAGGAGCCAACCCTCTAACAGAAAAGAACTATTGCTTCTATTCAGAGGAGCTGGGTTTCAAAAGGTTGAACCAATATCCATTGCTTTCATTCCTCCTTCTGTCCTACTAATGTTTAGTCCTGGACACAAGAAGACTGCAGGAGTATACAGCAAAAGAAAAAAAACTAAAAACTCCAGTTAACTAGCCAATGGGCCAAATAAAGGGCCCAGTAAACCTGAAACTACCACAGAGGTTACAAAGAGGGAAGAAAACCAAACTCATAAAATTGTTTATGACTCCTGGGTTCACCCCTAACCTGACGATGCATGAATATGGTCTTATTCAGCATACCAAAGACTTTCAGATCTAAACCAACAGATAAACCTCCACCCAGGCTCCAGATTCACCACTGAATAGGACATATGTGGACTATATCTAAATAGTACCATAAAGCTTTTATAATTGAATTGACATTGGAACCACAGCCCACAGGTGATAGGTTAGAATATGTGACCTGAAACTAGCCAGTGGTTGACCACTTGTGAAAAAGAGAAACATTCTCCATAGGATTTAAATAATATCTAGTGTATCAAGTCATAATATCCAAGATATAATTCAAAATTACTCAGTATATAAAGGAAAATCTCAACTTGCATGGGAAAAGGCAATGAAGAGACACCAAATTTGAAATGACAACAGTATTGAAATTATCTGAAAAAGACTTTAGAGCAACTATAATACAAATGTTACTGTAAACAATCATGAACACTCTTGAAACAAAAGGAGGATAAGTGTCAGCAAGAAAAAATAAATAAATAAATAGAAATCTTAAAGAAGAAACAAATGGAAATTTTAGACTCAATTTCTTGGCAAATTTTAAAACTCAATGAATAGGGTCAAGAGGAGAATAGAGAGGATAGAAGAAAGCATCATTGAACTTTAAAACAAAGAGAAATTATCCAATCTAAGACAAAGAAAATATTTCTTTAAAAAATGAATAGAGAGGGGATCCAAGATGGTGGATAAGTGAGTGGAAGTTACACTAACCTACTCCCAGGACCAATTTAGAATTACAACTAAATTGTGGGGCAACCACCCAGAACAAACAACTGAACAATAGCGAGAGAGAAGCCTTATAATGTCAGACAGACAGAAAAATCAGCTTCAGAATAAACTGACTGGTAAGGAGTATGATGGAGACACGAGAAGACTGGCTGGGTGGCCAAAGGTAGCAGCTGACCTACGAGAGGGTTATTTAAGCAGCTGATTGGGTCCCCATGGGAAGTGTGAGATCTAAACCCTAAGCTGGGATCCCCAGCCCAGAGCACCTAAATCCAAAAAGTACACAGATAATATCCAGTGGCAAAAAATGTGGGTTGCTCTCTGCCAGATATGGACAGCAAGAGATGCAAAGAGCTGTTCAAAAAGCCAACACAAAAATTTTCATTTGCAGCCACTTTTCCCTGGGTTCCAGCAAGGGGCGGGGGCAGAGACGCTTGAAGAGAGACTGGGCAGAGAAGCTTTGGGGAGAGAACTGAGATAGTAGCCGCTGGGATTCTGGTGCTGAATCATCCCCCATACAGTGGCAGCCAACTTGCTCAGGCAGATTACTCACCATGGAGTGGCAGCAACCTGAGGGAAAACAATAACCCTGACCCCAGAAGGGATTCTCCTCTGCCCTGTGTTGCTTAAGCCTGACTGCTGGGTGCAGAATGATTGGAATAACCACAAAGGAGTCAGCCACAGACAGTATATCCCTGGAAATCTCAAACAAATTGCCTAAACTCAGATGGGGTCAACATCTGATATCATCAGAGGAGGATCAAGAAAGAGAAAAACAGTGGTAAATACTAGATGCTAGATACAGAGATGAGATCCACCATGGTCTTCTCCATGATTTTCAATATTTTCTTTCATGCATAATTGTTTAATATTCATTTCTTATCCATCAAGTTTCTGCATATTATTGTCACTAGATTTTATATTATAGTTGATTTCAATTCACATATTTTGCCCCTCTCTTCTCTTACCTCATTTTATCTTCTTCTTTCGTCTTTTTATTTTGTTTTAAATTTTGTTTTCTCTCTTGCTACAACTTGTTTCCATTCCACACTTTTACTATTTCTCCCTGATCCAGCCTCTCAAAACCAATTTTCTTGTCAATGGTCATCTCATATTCTTTTTCCCCGCTCTTAAAATACCTGCATTCTCTCTCCACCTTTAGCAATCTTTGCTTATTGGCTGTAGATAACATAGTCATTATTGCACTTTTTTTCAATTTTATCTCTAAATCATTGCTAGTGTTGCATTTCAAATCTCAAATTTTACCATTCCCTTCTCCTACTCTTTTTTTGTCTCAAATTTTAATTTTCCCCTATCTTAGCCTGTTTTTCCTCCTTTCTTTCTTTTTCTTTTCATCTCAAATTTTAATTTTTCCCTGTCTTAGCCTGGTTTTCATTCCTTACTTAGTATTCCCTCACCCTCTGTCATCTTAAAATTACTTCCCTTTCCTCTAGACATCTCTTAAGCTTTTCTTTCCTTCTTTTTTCCCTCTTATTCTCATCTCACCTATATTAATTTTAGCTTAGTTGTTGTTCATAGGTCTGTGGTGGATCTTTCTCTACAATTTGGTTCCTATTTTAAAAAATTATTTACTTTTTTTCATTTTTCTTCCTCCATTTCATTTATTTTATTCTAATTTCTGTTTAAACCTATTACTATACACTTCCTTTCTCTTACTCCACTCCCTTTTTTTAATCTATGATGTATATTTTATTTTCTCTCTTCGCATTGCTCCAATTCCCAACTCTTATCAGTGCTCTCCTCTCTACTCTCTCAAGATCATTTTTGTTTTGGTAAGTTTTCTTATATTCATTCTCCTTTCCTATAATAGTCTTAACCTTTTAAAACTCTTGTTAATACTGGTCCATTTCCCATGATAGTGGAATTACATGTGGGAGTTATTTCTGTGGGTGTGAGTTTGTTTCCTGAGCTTTATGATTTTGTTCTGTCAACACCTGCACAAGAGCATACAAGACATGATGTGTGGAGTGATCTTCAGTCAACCACCTGGAGGGAAGGACCCACCAAAGAATGACACAACAACAATCAATACCCAATTATAACCAGACAGCCAACATAAATGGCATAAAGGGCATCCCAAGAGCATCAAGTTCAGGAGATCAAGGAGACTACACTACTTAATCTCACAGGTCTCCTGCCATAAAAGTTCATACCACAAAGACAGGGAGTCAAAACAGATCAATTGAAGAAGCAGAAACAAACAAGAAGAGTCTCCCAAAGAAGAGGAAGACAAAGAAACAATGCCCAACTGAAAGAAAAGGAGGAATTCTTAGAAAGAGTGCAAAATGAAATAGAGGAAAGTAAACTATTAGATATTGGGTTGAAAACAATGGTTCTAAGGAAGCTCACTGAGCTCCATTAGAATTACCAAAAAATATAGAGAAGCTATAGGAACTTACTATCAGCATTAAAAAGAACATGAAAACTATCAACAAGAGCCAGAAGGAAATGGAGAATATAATTTCTGAATTGAAGAACACAGTAGAAAGAATCAAAATCAGAGTACATGACGCAGAGGATGGAATCAGTGAGCTGAAGTACAAGGTAGAAAAAAGCTCCCAGAAAGAGCAAGAAAATGAAGAAAGACTCAAAAAGAATGAAGAGGCATTGGAGGAAATGCAGGGCAACTTGAAACGTAATAATATACATATAATAGAGATACCAGAAGGAAGAGAAGATGAGCAAGGGATAGAGAACCTTTTGGAAAAAGTAATGATGGAAAACTTTCTTAATTTGAGGAGAGAAAAAGTCACACAAATCCAGGAAGCACAGAGGGTCCCAATCAAGATGACACCAAAGGGGTCCACTCCAAGACATATTATAATTAAAAAAGAAAATTCAAAGACAAAGAGAGAATCTTAAAGGCAGCAAGGGAGAAACAGGAAGTAACATACAAGGGAGCACCAATAAGCCTAGCAGCTGACTTCTTAACAGAAGGCAATGGCAAGAAATATTTCAAGTAATGAAAATCAAAGTCCTGCCATCAAGACTACTCTATCCAGCAAGGCTCTCAATTAAAATAGAAGGAGAAATAAGGAGTTTCCCAGACAAAATAAGGCTAAAAGAATACACCTCCACCAAACTAGCATTGCAAGATATGCTAAAGAGACTGCTTTAGGAAGATGAAGCAAGAGAGTGAGAGAGGAACACAGGTACAAAAGGAAAAAATGAATAAGTACCTATCAATAGTAACTTTAAATGTAAATGGATTAAATGCTCCAATCAAAAGACATAAGGTAGCTGATTGGATAAGAAAACATGACCTACGCATGTGCTGCCTACAAGAGACCCACCTCAGAACAAAAGACCTAGATAGACTGAAAGCGAAGGGTTGGAAAAAAATATACTCTAAGCAAATGGACAAGAAAAAAAAAAGCCAGGGTAGCAATACTTATATCAGACAAAATAGACTTCAAAACAAAGACCTTAAAAAGAGACA